ACGAATGAAACATTGCAGTGTGTTCCAACTTCACCTCAAAGCAGGGGTTACACAGCTGAAAATGGGCCATCTGCAAGCCCTGTTTTAAAATTATTACTTCATCATGTCTTCAGACCCACCATTTTCAGCCTTGTCAATCTTAACCCTTAGAAATCTACATCCAGTTTAATATATAACTTTCAAAATAATAGCTTACACACACACACACACACACACACATATATATACACACACACACACACACACACACACACACAATTAACACAGACAGAGATATGTACCTATTATGGTTTCAAATAGGTAGCTATTAAAAGGTACTTACTACTGTGATAGAAACCTGTTGATTTACCAGATCATCCTGAACTAGATTTCGGAATGGTGTCGTAACTGAATAACATAACCTCTGATTGGTTGAATAGTGCGCTGTACAGTATATAGGTCCACCAACTTCCAGTTTATACAAGAGATCATTCCATTCATTCCATTCATCTTCTACCGCTTACTCTTTCTTCAGGGTCACGGGCGAACCTGGAGCCTATCCCAGGGAGCATCGGGCACAAGGCGGGGTACACCCTGGACAGGGTGCCAGTTCATCGCAGGAACAAGAGATCAATAAAAATATACTACCTCAGCATAGTCTTATTTAACAAGTTAAGCAAAATAATCAAAATATATGTTTTTCATTGGTAACGATGAATCTAAGACTGTTTCTGCATCAACACCTAATTTAAAGTAAGTCTTTACCCCAAATGATTTCTAAACTGTTAAACAATATGTACAGTATGCAATGATCTTTCCTAACCCTAAGTGATGGAACACACCTCAGTGGGTAAAAGCTGGGAAAGACTAAAAGATACGGAATGGCCAAAGTGATGGCATGGCTGTTGGTATCAGATGCACTGGTTTGAGAAATTTCAGAAACTGCTGATCTCTTGGGACTTTCAAGCACAACAGTCCCTAGGTTTTACACAGAATGGTGTGAGAAATAAAAAACATCCAATGAGCGGGTGAAAACACCTTGCTAATGAGAGAGGTGGATAATGATCAGTGGATAACGGCCAAACTGGTTTGAGCTGACAGCAAGGCTCTGGTAAGTCAAATAACCATTCTTTAACCATAGTGAACCTTGAGAGATAAATCAATTTACTTGTTTCAGAGTTCTTATTATCCATGTTTGCAAATTCTCACAGTGGCAAGTTTCAATACTCAAATCAGGGTTTGTCTTGGTTTTACATGGTATCGGTTCAAAAAGAAAATCTGTGGTATTGCCTATCCTGACAATGAAGCAACAATTCATAACAGCCCGATTTGTTTGAAATAAGCCTAGGATTAGAAGCAGGGTTAGCATTTCTACGCATTTTTACGACTTCATTCATGTAAAACGTTACGAAATTCAACCGCTCGTCCAATTTCATGAATATTTCCCTTGAGCTCAGGTTTAGTATTTCACATTGCCAAACACTTGCAAGAACATTTATCTGAGGCTACACACAGAACAGGACTGCACACTGTCACAGCTCAACAGATGCTGAGAATCCTGAACAAGGCCTTCTGCTACACCACAAGTAATCTAAATCTAGACTTTTCAAATCAAGTTGAGAAGCTAAGCTGATGGAAAATTATTCAACCACCTGTCATGCTCACTTTAGTGAGACAGATCCAAGACCACAAAAGGACAGTTTTCCAGGAAAACCGAGGACTGTCAAGTTGTGTATTGTGAATCGAGAGCTTTAGGTCTATGTTCTGTGAACAGTTAGAAGGGCAGACAAAAATAAATCGGCTTTTTGAATGAGTGCTGTTTGAATACTAGATGATAATGAACTAGTGCTAACAGAGACCCTTTGGGAATCATGCTTCCTCATATTCGCTCTATAACCATGTTCAGTGGAGGAGCACTAGACATGACAGCTAATGACATGGTTGCCAGGGTCACAGCTTTTATGCCAAAATTGTCTGTAATTGTCTGTGGCCTCCAGAATCTTGTTTCAGCATGTAACTGGAATTAAGTATAAGCATTGTAAGTGCATATAGTGGGTCTTTGTACAGAATAAATTCTAGATGATTGCCAGAGCCGTATATCCCCGGTGTCCTGGCAAAATTCCCCCATTGGAACTTCTCTATCATGGCCCCCTAATAATCTCCATCTCTGAACTGGCTACATCACTCTCTCCTCTCCACTAATAGCTTTTGTGTGGTGGGCACTCTGGCGCACTATGGCTGCCTTCACATCATCCAGGTGAATGCTACACTCTAATGGTTGTTGAGGAGATCCCCCCATACTATGTAAAGGGCTTTGGGTGTCTAGAAAAGTTCTAAATAAATGTAACTCTATCTAACTAACTAACTTTTGTAAGATACTGTGTATATAAAAGATCGGGAGTGGGAAATGGGGATTATGTTGTGGATATTATCCGTATATCAGAAATGTCTGTACACCATGGTGACCTTTTCCTTTTCCAGTGTTGAATATTTTGGGCTAGTTTGTGTATTTAAAACAGTTAAACAAAGCTACGTCTAAAACCAGACAGACAATTCAGTTCAATTTAGAACATTTAGATGTAGATATTGAGTTTCTGGAAAACTGCCGGTTGGTCACGCTCGTCTGCAGACCAACCTGGTTACTCTGGTTGAGAAAACCCAATGTTATGCATGCTATGTTTCCCACAATACGTGGTTGAGACTGATTATTTATTATTGTGCTCTTTGTCTTTTCACCACATCTTCAATATTCTTTGTTCACAAAGAGAATGTGGAGACGGTTTTGTTTACACGGCCATCAGCAGGGCTTGTGTCAGCACTAGTAGCCACTCTTATTTAAAAATTTAATCTTTTGCAGCCGACTAGAGTTTAAAATAAAGCCATGGGAATGCTAATTAGATTTGTTATTGGGGCAAGAAAAAGTGGAAAAGCAACACTCAACAAGGCTCAGATAAAATAACCTTTTATTACAATAACATTGATCAAAAGAAAAAGGATAAAAGAGCAATAAGACACTAAAGTTCAACAAGACAGTCCAAGTTCAAATCAGTCTATGCTTAGCCTCTGAAAAGCGACTGACATCCGAAATCACAAATGTGGTGATATTAGATCAGTCATCTTTTTATATAGTAAACCATCAATGATTGTAAGTCTTGACACATGGCGAAGCAACTGTTGTACAATCGAAGGAATGTTCTCCTCTCAAGGGCGGTTGGTAAGTTTGCAGACCTCATGATAGCCACAGCATTAGCCAAAGTTCTTCATCTCCTTGCTGTGCCACTTACCACTCAACAATGTCCAAGGTGCCGGAAGGGGTAGCGTAATTTGCATCATTTTTTTCTGCAGGATGGAGACTTCGTCTGGCGTAAGAGATCACACATTCTCATCCGTCTTGTGCTTGGGACAGGACAGCACATAAACCTTGATGACAGCCATCTGTATACAGAACAAACAGTAAGGATAAATCGGCCTGCAAGGCCCAAAAAGGCCCTTACCTCCCCAACTATTGTAGGGATGGGCCAGTCTTGGAGTGCTGCTGTCTTTTCAGGGTAAAGACGTATGCCAGCCTTGTCCACAACATGGCAGAGAAACTTCACCTGCTGTCGGAAAAACCGCCACTTATCACTTATCATTATAATATCAACAGACCTGTTTGAGATGGCTAAGATGGGTAGAAAAATCTAATGAGTAGACAATATATTGCTCAAGTACACTAATGAAAAATCTGGTATGTAGCAACTTAGGCAACACTGCATTAACTTCTGGAAAGTGGCAGGGGAGTTGCACAGTCCACGGGGCATACGCTGGAACTCATATAGCCCCAGAGGTGTGGCAAAGGTGGTCTTAGGATGATCTTTTGGGTGTACACCCACCTGCCACTAGCCACTTTCCAAGTCCAGGGTACTAAACCACTCAGCCACTCAGCCCTCTTCAATGTGGTCAAAGTCTCCTCAATTCTGGGAAGAGGAAAAGCATCTTTATGGGTGACAGCATTCAGTTTCGCTAACTCCCATACTTTTTCTACACTTGTGCTGAAGCCAAGTATTTCTGCTCAATGGAAACTTATTGTCTCTGATTAACCTACAGACACATGTTTTTAAAACATGGTGTCGTCTTCGTTTGCTTGTTACGTTCCTGTCCCATGCTCAATTCAGCCTGGGTTAGGTGGATCTGTTGAAAGTTAACCACCGAGTGGGATCTTACCTAAGCTAAATGAAATCAATGGGGAATTTGTCAAGCTATGAGATAGCATGAGGCAAGGGGGCATATAATGGTCAATCGGGCATGAAATGGAATAAATCTAGGAGCGATTGTGAAAACTAGATCAGTAATGGTGCCGGGTATTTTTAAAATCTTATCAATCAGAAATAAGAATGGGGGAAATAAGGTGACCAAGATTTCAGGCTTGATAATCTATAGACAAGTATAGACATTCTCCTGAATGAAAAACATACACTGTAAATGGTAGCATGGTAACAGTATGATTGGGCAAAACATCACCAGATAAGGCAGTGTTGTAAAAGATTGGCACTGCATTTCTTCATAGATTAAGACTAAGGTGTACGTCAATAACTCTTGTTTCCTCTGATTAATCGGTTTTGCAGGTTTTTTTGCCAATTAATCGACACCGATAGTTGTGCTAATGCTAATTCACGACTATTAGCAATGGCTAAGCAGCTTGTTCGTCTTGAAGTTTGTACCTTTGTCAATTATTAACAAATAAAAGGCTTAATATTAATATTTAATTTCGTTGTTAATTCTTAACTGACTGTAGTGGCCCAGCACTTGATACATGCAGTACGTTTATGCTAGTTAGCTATTATGATATTTCCATTGTATCCCTGTCCCAAAAGAAAGTTAAATTACATACTTGGCATTCTTTTTCCAGTTTCATTTTTATTGAACGTTTCTGCTAAACATTTCTACTGATACTTGGCATTCTTTTATATATATATATTTATTATTATTTTTTTTTTTTTAAATACTTTGGGTTTTAAATAAAAATATATTATCCATAAGGTGGTAGTGGTGGCTCAGGGATTAAAATGTTGGACTTCTGATCAGAAGGTCATGAGATCAAATCCCAGCACTGCCAAGCTGCCACTGTTGTGCCCTTGAGCAAGGCCCTTAACCTTCAACTGCTCAGCAGTATACATGTAAGTTGCTTTGTATAAGGCTGTCTGCCAAATGCCTTAAACGTAATGTCATAACATATTTGACAATTCTTTTTCTAACTAAATGAAAGCAGTACAACATAATTCTGAGGTAATGTGTACAGTATATTGCATAATTCTTGCACACAGCATACTATTATGAAGAATAGATAATAGTATGCAAGCATGCTCCAAGCACAGCCAGTGTTTTTTAGTGGACCACATATTTATTAGCGGTCTGGCTGCCAAATAAGCTTCTATTTTTTTTCCCTCTTACACAAGGTTAGGGCGTCTCCAATTGGTTCTTATTTTACAACTTAGTATCTGCTAAACTATAAATTCCACTCAGGTGAAAGGTGAGCTGAACTTCAGTGAGCTCTGTAAATATCAGCTAAATCTCTAAGATCTAGTAAGAGCTATTTAACGCGGAGAAGGCCTACAGATGTGCAAAGAGGGGCAGCTGGTGTAAAAGTGCTAGCAGGGGCTGCATTTCACACACACACACACACACACACACACACACACACACACACACACACACACACACACATATATATACACATAAGGTTTTGTTTTTTGCCATATATATAGTATCTCACATTTGTGTAAATATTTGATGATACCTTTTCATGAGACAACACTGAAGAAATGACACTTTGCTACAAAGTAAAGCTTGTGTAACTGTGTCAATTTACTGTCCCCTCAAAATAACTCAACACACAGCCATTAATGTCTAAACCGCTGGCAACAAAAGTGAGTACACCCCTAAGTGAAAATGTCCAAATTGGGCCCAACGTGTCAATATTTTGTTTGGCCACCAATATTTTCCAGCACTGCCTTAACCCTCTTGGTCATGGAGTTCATCAGAGCTTCACAGGTTGCCACTGGAGTCCTCTTCCACTCCTCCATGATGACATCACGGAGCTGGTGGATGTTCGAGACCTTGTGCTCCTCCACCTTCCATTTGAGGATGCCCCACAGATGCTCAATATATATACATACAGTGCCTTGCGAAAGTATTCGGCCCCCTTGAACTTTTCAACCTTTTGCCACATTTCAGGCTTCAAACATAAAGATATAAAATTTTTATTTTTTGTGAAGAATCACCAACAAGTGGGACACAATTGTGAAGTGGAACGAAATCTATTGGATTTTTGAAACTTTTTTAACTAATAAAAAAATGAAAAGTGGGGCGTGCAAAATTATTCGGCCCCCTTGCGTTAATACTTTGTAGAGCCACCTTTTGCTGCGATTACAGCTGCAAGTCGCTTGGGGTATGTCTCTATAAGTTTTGCACATTGAGAGACTGAAATTCTTGCCCATTCTTCCTTGCAAAACAGCTCGAGCTCAGTGAGGTTGAATGGAGAGCGTTTGTGAACAGCAGTTTTCAGCTCTTTCCACAGATTCTCGATTGGATTCATGTCTGGACTTTGACTTGGCCATTCTAACACCTGGATACGTTTATTTGTGAATCATTCCTTTGTAGATTTTGCTGTAAGTTTGGGATCATTGTCTTGTTGGAAGATAAATCTCCGTCCCAGTTTCAGGTCTTTTGCAGACTCCAACAGGTTTTCATCCAGAATGGTCCTGTATTTGGCTGCATCCATCTTCCCCTCAATTTTAACCATCTTCCCTGTCCCTGCTGAAGAAAAGCAGGCCCAAACCATGATGCTGCCACCACCATGATTGACAGTGGGGATGGTGTGTTGAGGGTGATGAGCTGTGTTGCTTTTACGCCAAACATATCTTTTTGCATTGTGGGCAAAAAGTTCGATTTTGGTTTCATCTGACCAGAGCACCTTCTTCCACATGTTTGGTGTGTCTCCCAGGTGGCTTGTGGCAAACTTTAGACGAGACTTTTTATGGATATCTTTGAGAAATGGCTTTCTTCTTGCCACTCTTCCATAAAGGCCAGATTTGTGCAGTGTAAGACTGATTGTTGTCCTATGGACAGACTCTCCCACCTCAGCTGTAGTTCTCTGCAGTTCATCCAGAGTGATCATGGGCCTCTTGGCTGCATCTCTGATCAGTCTTCTCCTTGTCTGAGCTGAAAGTTTAGAGGGACGGGTCTTGGTAGATTTGCAGTGGTCTGATACTCCTTCCATTTCAAAATGATCGCTTGCACAGTGCTCCTTGGGATGTTTAAAGCTTGGGAAATCTTTTTGTATCCAAATCCGGCTTTAAACTTCTCCACAACAGTATTACGGACCTGCCTGGTGTGTTCCTTGGTCTTCATGATGCTCTCTGCGCTTTCAACAGAACCCTGAGACTATCACAGAGCAGGTGCATTTATACAGAGACTTGATTACACACAGGTGGATTCTATTTATCAGCATCAGTCATTTAGGACAACATTGGATCATTCAGAGATCCTCGCTGAACTTCTGGAGTGAGTTTGCTGCACTGAAAGTAAAGAGGCCGAATAATTTTGCACGCACCACTTTTCATTTTTTTATTAGTTAAAAAAGTTTAAAAAATCCAATAGATTTCGTTCCACTTCACAATTGTGTCCCACTTGTTGGTGATTCTTCACAAAAAATAAAAATTTTATATCTTTATGTTTGAAGCCTGAAATGTGGCAAAAGGTTGAAAAGTTCAAGGGGGCCGAATACTTTCGCAAGGCACTGTGTGTATATATATCTCAGAGTATTTAGTGTTGGCAAATGTAATAAGGCAGATTATTTTGGATTTTTGTGGAATCAAGCGCAACAGCACTACAATGATCACAAAAAACCCACACAGGACAGTATGAAGAAATGAGGCTGGGGCTGATTTCTTTCATGCAGCCTATCAGTGACACGGCGGGTGAGTATAGACTGCCACACACACTAGACTTAAACTTTTGCTGACACATCTGTCACATGTCGTGAGCAGTTATTTGTAAGAGCATGTGAAATGGTCACAGTAATTATTGGGAACAAGGTGATACTTTATAATTCCTCAAACTGACTTTACAAAAGTAAAAGCAGACTGACTAATCACACATTGCACAAAGTATTACACAAAAGGACAAATGACAGAGCTAGACATTTAGTGTCTTTTTATTCTTAGGAAACACAGCATGAACCCAGCAGAGAATTACAGACTTAAAATAGAAGTCGAAATCATGAATGCAACTGCCTTTGACTGTGTGTGCGATTGTTTGCCTCACCTCGTTATATAATTCACTGCTCAATCCTGATATTTTCATTTTCATAAGCTACTGATTACCCCTTCCGTCTACCAACCAGAAAGTATAGATTCTGTCTGTGGATGTTTTTTTTTTTTTTTTTTTTACTTAAAGCTGTTTATGTGTAAACTTCACTGGATGCAGAACTAAACCCAGATTCAGCATGATCCACATGCTTCCTTGCCTTCTTTAGAACAGTGGATTTTTAATGATCTCCAGCGTTTTCGCCACCCATACTTTACACACGCATCTAATTAGAGAGTTTCTCTCGTGTACTACATATGGCTCAGAGGATTTGGATCCTCGGATGGGAATTTAGGAACAATGTTTCGCTAAATCAGCAGAAAAACTAAAGGCACCACCAGTAATTATAGGGATTTGTAATCCAGGAGAAAAGGCAACCCTTTGTGCTGAACTCCACAAAAATACTGGCTCTAATTAGAGAACAGTGTATGGGACCATAACTGCTTAGCAGTGGCTGTGTATTCAAGACCTTCCTTTTGTTCTACCTAAAATGAAACGGTATAGAAAATGTCTTGTGTGGCACAGGCTTTGGCTTGTTGACATCCTTGATAAGCGTTTGATCCTGCACTAACTCAACGTGTTATTTCCTGTTTTAACAGCTCACTTTTTAAAAAGAACATGCCACATTTGAAGACTTGAAGTTGTGATTCTGTCACTCATAGGATTGGGTTTTCTCTGCTGTTCTTTGTTGACCTACATATTTTCTAAGTAACATCCAGTGCAATATGGCTCAGGTTACATACATGTTGTTTTTCCATATTGGTGCAGTAAAATAGTAATCTCATCTGTTTTATGAACAGATATCTATCCAACATAGAATATATATATATATATATATATATATATATATATATATATATATATATATATATATATATATATATATATATATATATATATATATATATATATATATATATTTATATATATATATATATATATATAAATATATATATATATATATATATATATATATATATATATATATGCGCGCTATTCTATGATAAGAGAATGCACTGTAATTGAACTGACACGTTGGCAACAATTTCCATTTATCGTCAAAAGCCTTACGAGTCATAAACGTCAGACGCAGAGGCAACAGATAGAAATACTTTTGAGGAATGTCAGATGTGTGTGTGTGCACGTGTGCCAGAGGTGAACTTTAAGATTGTCCTGTTGTCCCTGCAGTTACTGGTTGACATCATTTGGTGTCGTTACTTTGTCTGTCCTCAAATAACTCCAATCAAGAGCACTGCTTGATTTTATTTCTTTATAAACCATAATGCTTAAAAGTTTTAGCACTGGGTGCCAAAACTCCAGGACTTCCTCTTAAGCATTCTACCACCTGATTCAACTCATGAGCTTGATAAGTTGGATATGATATGAGCTGGGTAAGTTTGTTTTAGTGCCTAAAGAAGGGGATAGGGGGGGGGGGGAAAGAACCTGATTGAAAATTCTATATGTTTTTGCATACTATGACCAGTAGGGGTGGGCAATACTGCCTTCAACTAAAACACAATATTTGGGAATATTCTCTGTGATAATATTCTGTGGGAAAACGTTTTGAAAATATGTAATTTCATGACAAATCATACAGAATTTATTAGTATTTATGGAGTGCAGCCAACCGTAACAAGTGACCACTTCAGTAATTTAATTCCAGTGCTTGCTTTTCCTTTTGTTATGGTGTATAAGTTAATGCTACATTACAAATTACAAAAAAAAAATTCATTCATGAAGCGGAGAAAG